GACAGTACTGTAATCTAGATTTTTAAAAGATTAATAAATAATATAATTTTTTAAAAATTTGAAGGCGTTTTCCATGTTTCTGATAACCATGAAGGTATAAAATCAGAGGAATGACAGTACTTTTTGAAGGAAGGCAAAAAAAAAAAATCTTGGGAGAGAAGGCTTACCTATCTTTTATAGGCAGCAGGGCTCTTTGAAGGAGGGTCTCCAAAAAAGACGCCTGTCACAGAGCCAGAATCCTGTCCTCACAGCAGAAAGGTTGTACTGGGTGAACAGATGAACAAAATAAAAATTAGCTTAAGATACACTATTCTTATAACAGCTTGGCTAAGAAAACTCAAATGCCAAGTGTAAAGAATGTGCAAGTCTTGTTAAACTTCACAGAAGATTATAAAGACAAGTTTAAGTCTAGATAGATTTTACTATGGTGATTATTCAACTTTGCCTTCCAACAAAAGGTTTAATAGTTCAAAGGTTCAATAGTTTGAATTTCCTCTGATCAAATTATGAGATGGGGGAATTCTTGTTTTTAATTTATTTATTTAACCCTCACCCAAGAACAAGGTCAGAGAGAAGGAAGAAACATTAATTGGTTGCCTTCCGTACATGCCCCGACCAAGGACTCAACGTGCAACCCAGGTATGTGCCCTGCCTGGGAACTGAACCAGCAACCTTTTGGTGCATAGAATGATGCTCAACCAACAGAGCCACTCTGGCCAAGCAATTCTTGTTTTTTAGAACATAATTAAGGACTAACAAAACTTTCACATTCACCCTGCCACCACTAGCAAATAATTTTTCCAATGGTCCACTCAACATCCCCCTTTTTATTTGCCTTCCTCCTATACAGGCAGGAAAGCTAATACTTCTATCTCACAGCTTTCCTTACAGCTAGAGGTGGCCACATATCCAAGTCCTGGCCAATGGGATATACATGGAAATCTCTGGTAAAAGGCATCCCTTCAGGGAGCGGGGGCAAAATCACTAGAAGAAAGCTCTTTGCTCTTTTCTATCTGAAACAGGGAAACAATGCTAAAAGGTAAAACCACCATCTTATAATCACAAGGTTAAATGCCACATAAAAAGATGATGGCTCAGGAACAGAAATGGTACCCAAATTCTTGATACCTTTTTCTTGAATGCTATGCTCGCCCAGAACTGCTTGTCTGTGGAATTCTTGCAGTGAAAGAAAAAGGAACTTCTGTTTTGGACATTAGTGAGGTTTTTAAGTATTTATAGCTGAAGACATTCCTCATTCATATTAGACACATTCTCAATACTCAAAGTAAAAATCCAGTTTTATACTTTTTCTAAAGATAAGAGTGTTAGAAAAACATTAGGAAACAAAAACTACAGAATTGATAAAATTAAAGAATTAAATTATGCTTTTAAGGGTCTAAAATATTTATTACATTCATTTCCTCCAACTTGGGAAGCACTGCTTCTCCCTTTTGTCTGTACTCTCCAGTAATTGCTCTGTGCCTAAAGTCTAATATCTGTGAATGGCCTGCCTGAATATGATTTAATCTTACTGGTTCATGTTAGCAGAATTCCCCTAAAAATGCTAATTCAATAGGGGAATCAGTTTGTTTTTTAGAGTAAGTTTATAGGAAAGAACTAAACCTGTCATTTTTCTATTCTTTCATTTTAAAGAAACTTCATCTACCACTTTCTTCCTGGTTCCAAAGTGCTCTCCTGCAAATGTCCAAGAGCTGAAATAAAATTTAAAACAGCTCTTTTATAAAACAATTACTACCCAAGTAATTCTCAGAAAGAGCTCCTTCTTATTTGAGTTAATTCTAAAGAAAAAGCGAATTAGAAACTGTTGTGAACCACTCACTGCATATCATAGAGACAAAGGCACAAGTATAGAGAACTTCGAAGAAAATGTCTTAGCAATTACTAGCTGATATGCTAATGCGACATATTTTCTTAAAGACTTTTAAAAAAACAAGAAAAGCCCTGGCCAGTGTGGCTCAGTTGGTTCAGCATCATCCCATGCACCAAAAAGTTGGTTTGCTTCCTGGTCAGGGCACATGCCTGGGTTTTGGGCTTGATCCCCGGTAGGGAGCATGCAGGAGGCAGCCAATCCATGTTCTGCTGTCACATCGATGTTTCTCTCTCCCTCCCTCTCTCTACAGAAATCAATTTTTAAAATCTTAAAAAATAAATAAAAACATATCCTTGGGTGAGGATTAAAAAACAGATTAATCTTCATAGTTATTTACTCTAAGAATCTAAAATAGAACATGAGACCAATCTTAGTAGAGAGAAGTCTTTTATTTACAAAAGAAAAACTCATTCCAGGAAATAAACAGAATAAATAATATTAACTTAGTAATTTTCTATGAAAAAAATCTGCAAAAAATTCCATCTGCAGGCAATCTACCATTTTCCCAATCAACCTGCAACTCTTCTTTATGACCTCTTAGAAAAGAGGTCCTTTCATGGTAATGACCAAAAATACCTCCATTTATGAAGTCCCTAACAAGGCTGCCACTTAACCAAGTCATCAAAAAATAAAGAAAATCAGTTTTCACAGAAATACGGTTCCTCCTGCTAGTACTTACCTTCCAAAGGCAATCAGAGCTTTTCACAAAAATGGAATCAGCAGTGAAGTTTTTGAAGTCTTTAGAGTGATAAAGAATACCTATGCTTATTGGAGGGAGATTTATCCCAATCATTTATCCCAATCATTTCTCAGTCCAGATTTCACTGGCACTATATTTTATGAAGTCTGCTTGTATCAGCCCAAGCAGAAAAACTGAAGCAGAAAATAAAGCATAATGATAGAGCTCTTATATTCTGTAACTTTATATACTTAATGTCTGTAAGAACATTTTTCAGTTTGCCTTTTTCTTCCATGTATTTTCATCATTTGACATAGGTTTCTAGCAAAAGGTCCTCGTTTATGGCACTGTAGAAAGAAAGGCTTTGTTTATAGTGGGAGAGTTTCACTTGTGATCATTATCCAGTAACAAATATGGTTATAAATCAGGGTCATCTATACTAACAGACTTCAACTAATTCTACTTAGAACAGTGAAACAATCATCTGGAAAGCAAATAAGAAAATGAATAACCTTTCTAAATCCAATCTTCCTGCACTTTAATGACAGGAAAATTGGATTTAGAAATCCTACATGTGATAAAAGTTCAGCTTAATATTAAAAGTAATACCAGTAGCTAATACTTAGATACTACTTGTGCCAAGCACTGCTATAAGTGCTTTACGAAAAATCACTTAATACAACCCTTTGAGGCTGCTACTATTATTATCCCCATTTTACAGAAAGGAATCTGATGCTACAGAGTTTAAGTAACTTGCCCAAAGTCATATAGTAGTACAGCTGGGATCTGAACCCAGGTCATTTCTAAAGCTCATAATCATATTGCCTCTATGAAAAAATCAGATGTTTATAATCTATGACCACTTTTTATGCTTTTACTTTGCCTTTAAAAAGGTTTTAGGGGAAGCACACTGAATATACACAGGAGATAACCAAAAATTTGTTGAATGAGGAATACTATTACTGCAAAATTGCCAATATTGCATATTCACATGTTTAACATAAACAAACATGTTTTTCCCCAAATCTTCCTAAAATCTATTCCATAAAAACCTTCGTGCTCAATATATGCATAGCCCATAGACAGACACTAGTACGAGGAAGGCCTGGGAAGGGGGCAGGAGCCGGATGGAGAGGGTCAAAGGGGGAAAAAAGAGGGACATCTGTAATACTTTCAACAATAAAGATAAATTAAAAACAAAAACAAAAAAACCCTTAATGCTCAGATTACTCATCTTCTTTTACACCAAAAATACAGTAACATGTTTATAAAACACGTGCTAGCTTTGTAGTAGTCTTTCAATTACGAAGCATTTCAAACTCAGCTTTACTGAAGTCTTTATAAAATTTGACATTAAAATAAGCATGGATTTTAAATGCCTAAAGGCAAATATATACAAAATACACACATATAAAATCAGAGTTCACAATATCTTATTCCCTCTAATCTAGAAGTTATCAACTGGAGATGATTTTGCCCGACAGGAGACACTTGGCAATGTCTGGAGACATTTTTGGTTTTCACAACTGTACGTTGGGGAGGTGTGCTACTGGCATCTAGTGGGCAAACATTCTACAATGCATAAGACAATCCTCCACAATGAAGAATCATTTTGGCCCAAAATGTCAAGCAACATTAATCAAGTCCTAAATAAGACCAAGTACATTACTCAACTTATAGACCAAGTTCTGACCAGAAAAGGGGGCCACCAAAACAAAATAAAAAGCCTACCAAGACTATTAATAATAGAAAATCATTCCCTTGTACCCATTCACCATCTACTTGATTGAAGATACACAAAAAGGGTAAAGTTAACCCTTTAAATGGCCCAGCAGCTCTTCCCTTTTTCAAGTTTCACTTTGAAAACTAAAAATATTTAACATTTTACAAAGATTTGCAAATAAAGGAAAATGGCAGGCATTCCTAAATGACACAAAACTTGCCCTCCAATCAAACTTCAAATGCTGTTATTCTCATTAACTAATCCTCAACGAGTTGAGGAAAAAATGGTGGTCCTTAAACTCCTTGCTTTTTGCGTAAAATAGAATAAAATGATTCAAGAGCATCATAATATATTAATATACTATGAAGAAAATTCTCAAAACTCTGCTCCTTTGTGTTCTGTTCAGGATATGCACCCCTCCTCCCATCCATTCCCTTCCCATTTGACCTACTCTAGCCAAGGCCTGGCTCAAGTTCAGTCCACACCAACCTCACTCTTCTCCAGCTTGTACACCTGGCATGGCAACAGCACTAAAAGCTTGTTAAGGGAAAGAAAGGGTCTATACTTCACTACGTGTCTTCAGAATTAAAACCAACCAATATGGAACTGACAGTTCCTACAATCTGCTTTCTAGCTATACCTGTTAAACAGCAGGAATATTTAACTCTCCTCAGGAAAAGAAATGAGACACCCCCACACATCTTTACCTCCTCTTCACTTTCTTTGTCTTCATCCTCTGAAGACTCTTCCTTGTTTTTCTTTTCATCTTCATCACTGCTAGACTCATCTGACAGAATTTCAGGACATTTGGTTCGCTTTGCTTTCCTTGCCATTCCAGAACTGTTCCGTTCCTTTTTGTTGCCTTTGCTGGAAGTTTTTTTAGATTTTGGCAATGGCTGCATAAAATAAAACAAACACCAATGAGGTCCTGTATTTCCAAGTCAATCAACTATTTCTGACACCTACTCCTCAACTCAATTCTTCCTGTTCCTGTCTCAAGATATTGTATTTCCAAGTTCAGCAGTTTTCGAGAATGCATCTTTAATTTGTCAAATTAATCTTTTTTTGTCTAAATTACCAATACTTTCATCTGTATTCTAAACACCTAGGCAAGAGACTCTTCACAAATGTTTAAGTATGCATTCTATGGTCTGACATGGGACTAGAAGCCCAAGTACACACTGTGTTAAGCTCAGCTGTTTACACTTTATTAAGGCAATATTTTTAATTAGACTTATAATTTATTTCATTCTTATAAACATTAGCTACTGTCAGAGAAAGTTCCTGTTTTAGGGGCCCCTCCAATCAAAGGACTAGGAAGAATCATCCATAAAATAAATGAAATCTCACCTTACACATCCTGAATTTATGAACTATACAGTTTATATTCGTATTACCTCTGGGCTCTACTTTCAATAATGCCAGGATTATATTCTCACTGATCACTGTAAATATGAAGTACTAAGTATGCTAATTATGAAACTAATTAAGAAGCACAAAATAAGTGCATTGCTCTTAAAACACACATTTTTAAAAAGCAGAGTAGAGCATGTGAAGAAAATGATTATATTAACCAACAAATTTAACTTTTAAATGCTTTCTTAGGGGAGAACTTGCTAACTTCTAAAACTGAAAATCTTAAAATTACCCTGCATAAAGGATCTGAAAAGATATACACAAAGGAGTTAAAATTACTTATTTCTGAAATTATGGGTATTTTGTTTTTATTTTTGCCTATTACTTTCTGTAATAAACAAAAACATTAAGAAACATTCCACAATTGTATAAATGTTAGTGATAACTTTAGGCAGTATCTTTTATGAAACTAGCAGAACCACAGGTCCCTTCTCTCCTGGGAACCTCCAGTTTTAAGAGTCACTCACCTGAACAAAAATTAGGAAAAAGTGGCTGCTTATGTTATGTACTGTTCTCACGCAATCTACAATGTACGGAATAGCCTCTAATTTGCCCAAACAACCTACCTTTTAAAAAGCAGACTGGGAAACAGCCAATCTAGTCACTCCAGAAATTTTAAGTTAGTGAACCAAAGATATTTGTCAGAGGGGTTCTCTACTAGAAACTTCCGTGAATGAATACAGATATCTTGTTATGTGAACTATTACCATTACCAGGAAACAAATCCATTTAGATAAATTCTTTGATATCACTGTTTGGAGAAAAGATAACTCTGTCTAAACTCTCACAACTCACTATATGAAATGCAGGACTCAAATATATTAGAAAAATATGACAACCCTCACTTCCCTAGCTCAGGGATCAGATGCAGGTAGTGTGAATATAATAAGGAATTAGTAATATGAGGACTGGAATGGTCAGTACTGAATAAATCTATACAGAAAAATAAAAGCTGTTAAATCACTCAAGTAACCAATCAAGAAGATGCAACTTCCAAAAATAAATAAGATTTGATTTTAAAAATAATAATAAATAAATGCTTTAGAACTTTCCTATATTGGTTGTAAAATTAGTGGTATCTATTAATCAGAATCCAGTGTCAATAGCACCATCCCTTTTTGTAAACAAAATCTGAATGAACAAATAATCAAGGTAGAAATATGAAAAGAACAATATTACTACAGAGGAGATAAAATTAGTACTAATGAATTTATTGTGTTTTCCTTAAATGAGGAAGTGTATGGTAGCGTAGAAAACAACTTAAGACACCATTAGGTTAAGCAGTAATCAGAAACAAGTATGAAAAAATGGATCTGTGAGTAAGTTTCCTAAGGTAGGGTAAAACAGCGCTTTTCAAAAGTGCAGATCTTGGATACTGGGGTTTCCTGAGAACTTTTCAGAAGCCTACAGGTCAAAACTATTTTCACATCAAGACACTTATTAGCTCTTTCATTGTGCTGACATTTGTATGACTATGCAAAAGCAAAGGTGGGTAAAACTGCTGGCACCTTAGTACTTACTAATAATCAAGCAGGGGCAGCAAACTGTGCTAGTTGTCATTATATTCCTCACAACCATACACTAGCAGAGAGGGAAAGGCGTTTCACTTAAAAATGTCTTTGATGAAGCAGTAAATATTAATTGTATTAACTCTAAACTTTTGAGTACTTGTCTTTAGAATATCTGCTTAACAATGTGGGAGGTACAACAGAGTACTCTGGCTACAAACTGAAGTTCACTGGTTATCTCAAGGAAATACACTTGCACTACTGAGCTGTGACCTAAGCTAGCTACTTTTTCCTTGGAATACCATTTTTTTAAAAAAGAATAATTGAAAAATGATGCCTTTTTGGACTTATGTATTTAACGGACATATTCTCAAAAATGAAGAACGTGTCCCTGCCAGTTCAAGGAAAATAACCAACTATTGCCAATGATAAATTTCAAAATTCAAGTGAAAATTCGAATTTTGGAAAATGTCTACTACCATGAAATTGATACCTAAAGATTTTTCTGATGAGATGGTGGTTGTACTAAATAATGCGGCTTATTGACAGTGTTTAATGAAATGTGCCAACATTTGGAAGATATGTGTAATTCAGGGAACCAGTATTTCTCAAATAGTAAATGCATATTACAAAATTATGCATAGTAAAAGTCTATGATATCATTAACCATGATTAACATATCAGGTACCACATTACAACTAACCTTGAACAAACTACCACTGTGAAGTTTTGATGTTGTATAAAAGGAGAATATCCACAATTTTTTAAAAAGATTTAAAAAATACTCCTTTTTCTAACTACATACCTTTGTGAGGCTGTTTTCTTCATATACTTCAAGCAAAACAATACATTGCAATAAATTGAAATGCAGAAGCAAATGAAAATATAGCTGTCTTTTCTTAAATCAGACATGAACAGATTTGCAAAGACATAAAATACCTTCATCTTGCTAAAGTTTTTAAAGCAGTTATTTTTCATACAAAATATTACTTTTGTTACTATGTAGTGGGCTGTTATTTTAGAATTTTTGTCTTAATTAAGAATACAGAAAATATCAAAATAACCCATGTAAACAAAAGCTTCTGGGGTCCTCATTAATTTTTAAGACCAACACATTTGAAAATCACTGAGGAAAAAGATGAATATAAAGACTCATAACTTAGGCAACTTAATAATTACTTCTGGGGAAAATGTTCAACTTGTCATGAAATTCTATAGTATATAGAAAGGAAAAAGATAATCTCTCATCTTTAAATAAGCCAATTTGAAACATCAAAAAAACACAAAAAGAACATCAACCCAGCCAGGCGTGGCTCAGTGGTTGAGCATCAACCTAGGATCCAGAAGATTGCAGTTTGATTCCTCTCTGAAAACAATGAAGATATATTTAAAAGAAAAAATCATTATACCCCTTGGATTTGTAGCTGTATGATGCAAATATTTACCTGTCTTCGCCCAGATAATGACAAATAGGACCAAGGGTGGACAAAAACAAAATCCAGAGTTATTTTCTGGTTTCTAATCTTTATGCTCTCTACCCTTGCTTATGGTATTCCCCTGAACCCGTAGGCAGGCCCTCTAGGATGACTTCACAATTTCTTTCCTCTCAAAATGAGGAATATGAAAACATTTGCTGACAAGTTTAAACAAACTGAAAATACAAGGTCATGTAAGTAACACTTCAATAGACATTTTAAGTCAATGACATTATTTGTTACTATTAAACAATCAGGGCAAACCTAATCTAGATTTTAAGAAGAGTACAATAAACTATAAGGCTCTTTTAAATCTCTGTCCAGCTCCTAGTCTCTGCAGAGGATTCTCAAAACCAAATTCAAGAAACTTATTAAGAGTCAGCTTTATGTCACCTTTACATAACTTTATTCTAGTATCTAGAAAACACCCAGTTCTAATACACCTCTATCTTTTCTTTCCTGACCGGATTACAGGTTGCATACCAGCCCAACACCTCATCCTCAACTCAACCTGTTTCTGTTCTTCCAGTGCCTTCTGGATATAACTCCGGATACTTAGTTTGTATTGCTGTCCCATCTGACATTAATGTAGTTAATAATGATTTTTCTTGATCTTAAGGGAGAACATAGCCATATGCCTTCTATGTCATTTCTATCATGACACTGTTGTAGATAGGTCAAAGAAAGGCATATTCTTTGAATGAAGACAATATTACTGAATGTTGACAGCAATGCTAACTAAATTGTTCTGTAAAAAAGACAAAGTGCCCTGGCTGGGTGGCTCACTTAGTTGGAGTGTAGTCCCACACACCAAAGGTTGCTGGTTTGATCCAACTGGGGCGAGTACGGAAAGCAACTGACTGACGTTTCTCTCACATCGATGTTTCTCTCTCTCCCCTTTCCTCTCTCTGAAATCAGTAAAAACATATCCTCGGGGGAGAATTAAAAAAAAAAAAAGGTAAAGTAATAAGAGGCTATAAATAATTGGTTTGTTAGTAAAATAATACAAATCGGTCCTCACTTTGCCAGAAGGCTTTGGATGCATTAAGAAATTCAAGATCCTCTTCACCAGTTCACTATTTACACCTGATCTCTCCAAATCAAGAACCTCACAGATGCTTTTTAACATGGCATTTCTAAATCTGAAAAAGAAAATTAAAAAAACCAAGATGATTATGTAGGAAAGTTTATAAACATTCTCTACAATATCAATGCAATAGCTAACCAAACAGGCTACAAACATTTAAAAAGTAGCCGATGTTTCTCTGAATCTTAGAAGTACTCCTAATAATCTTTGATTAGTGTACATATACAACCAGATTAAAGTATTAAAAATTGAAAACACCACTTACCAATTAAATTCCAAAGGTAGTAAAACAATACCTAAATTAATTCACTAGAAAATAATGTAAAAAGTTTCCAATACTATAAAATTCATGGACTTCATCATTCTTCTGGCTGCTGATTGTGCCTAAATATTACATTTTCCCCTCAGCATTCCTACCATGTTTCAATGAAGGGATAATAATCTTTATTATTTAGAGTTCTTTGTTTTTTAAATGCCAAATGGAAGAATTTTATGGTTTAATCAACACAAATACAATGTATACACAATACGTCTTCATTTTTTTCCTTGCACAGCCTGGCATTAGAATTGGCAACTCTGATGGCCAGCTGGGCTGTTCTTCCCACAATGCTGTGAGCAATCTCAGTACAGTGAGATCTGTTGCACATCAGCAGCACTTCAAGCTCCCTGATGTTGTGGACCAGAAACTTCCGAAAGCTACTGTGCAGCATGTGCTTTGTTTTCTTGTTGCTCCCATACCAATGCTGGGCATTGAGATCTGGCCCTTGAATCTTATGAGCACCTTACTGTCAAAGCCTCTGGATTTCTGCCAGTACTGCCTAATTTTGACATATAGGTCTGACTGGTGCCAGGTGAACTTCTTTTTGACAATCTTGGGTTTCACGAGGCGTCTGAGGGCAGCCATGGTGCCAAGCAGGAGATGGCTGCCACCTCCATAGGCAGCACCAAAGAGGAGGATTAGAGTTCTTAAACTACAGAGAATTTAATAAACAAAAACTCTAATATATCATTTTGCTTGCATTATGATGAAGGGCATTGTTTCCATCAAATTGATTATCTTCAAAATAGCTAAATGGTACCTATAAATGGAGGAACAGAGTGGCACACATGAGAGGGAGAAAGTTTTCACTATATATTCCCTTTAGACCTTATGAAATTTGGACTGTGAATGATTTGCTTGTGTATACTGTTCTTCTAACAAATAAAAATGTCTTTGTGTTTTCAATACTTTTGATAGCCACTATTTATTGGAAAGTAATGAAGATCTCAAGTTAATATTTATGAAAACAAATGAGGTCTTGGCATTTAAAGCAAAGAATGAGCAGTCTACTGATAACATATGGGTGGTCACACTAAATGTTTAAAAATAAAATTTAAAGCACATTGACCAAAACATGGTATTTATAAAAATAACTTACTTTTTCAACATTTCTTCCTTCTTTTTATATTGGGTACTTCCTTTTTCAAATGGAAAGCCACTGAACTGACCCACATTCTTCTTTAATGAGGACACCTGAAAATGTTTCTTTTATGATTAATGCTACTTATTACCCAGTAATGTACACAGAAAAAAATTCAAAGCCAACATCTTTATTTTCACATCTGTCTCCAAGCTATACTGGTTTATGCAATATTTCTTATTCACAATTGAAAACTATTTTTATTGCTAAAGTATTATTTCATATATATATCTCTTTTTCTAATATATTTTTATTATTGACAGTATTACAGATGTCTCCCATTTTCCCGCCTTTGCCGTCACCCCAGGCCTTCACCACGCTATGCATATATGAATATAAGTTCTTCGGTTAATCTCTTCCTGCCCCCACCCCCTTCCTGAGATCTGTCCATCTGCTCCATGCATCCAAATCTCTGGACAGTTTATTTTGTTCATCAGTGTATTTTGTTCATTTGATTCCACAAATAAGTGAGATCATGTGGTATTTGTCTTTCTCTGACTGGCTTATTCCAATTACCATAATAATCACCAGGTCCATTATAAAAGACTTACCATCTTAATTTTTTGAAAATGACAATTTGAATGAATTTTCGTCTGAGAATTTTTATTGATAATCATAAAACCAAAACTAAATGTTATGTGACAGTACCAGAGGATGTAGAAAGTTACTACTTAAAAAGACATCCTTTCCACACTGGCCAGTGTGGCTACTTGGTAGAGGGAACCAATCAATGTGTCTCTCACATCAATGTTTCTTCCCCTCTCCCTGCCTCTCCCTCACCCCCACCCCCCCATGCTCTTAAAAAAAAAAAAAAAAAAAAAAAA